TCTCCCCAGAGTGCGGTCCACATATGTCAGTAAACTCCAGAAGCTCTTCCCGCTTCTCAAACTCGGGTGAGATCCAATGGCCAATGATGCCCATGATCGCTATCTGATTCTCCGATGTCCAAACATCAAGAGACAGCGCAAGCGTGCGACTACTACTGGCTAATTCTTCTTTCACGCAAGTCCGGTTTTTGCGAAATTCCTCCTTGATCCTGTTGAAGAGAGTGTCGGCCGTCTTGATGGGTAATATAGCCCCTGTCGCTTCAAAAAGTGCCCTAAATGCCGGATGCTCCACTACCGTAAACGGCTGTCTCGTTTGGACAACCCATTGTATCAGCATTTGTTCAAGGCCCGCCCTTTCTTTTGCAGGTGTCAAAAAACTGTCCAGGGTCGTTCCGATAGTTGACGATGACGTGATGTCTGATCCGGAACTGATGCGGTGCTTAGCCTGGAGATGGGCCAACAAATTCGAAGTGGAGCCATAGCGTGCCGAATCCCTGGATGACCAACTGCACTGCCTACAGACTAAGAGCCGATCCTTCTTTGGTGGCCCACCCTTTCGACGCCAGGTGTTGTCTAGCTTTGTGATCCAGAAATGCTCGAGGGTCCAGCTCGAATATGACTTGGCTTTTCGTCTCTTGTAAGTCGGTGGGCTACTCTGACTGCTAGTCAACCCTGATAGCGTGGGATCTAGCGGTGCGGGCGAAGACCTGGGAATGGGTAAGGACAGCACGGATGGGGACGTCTCTTCGCCTTCTGTAAACTCGGATGGTGCTGGTGAGCAGGGGCTCTCTATTTCACGAATATTTCCTTCCCATGGCTCAGGGAGTAGGGAGGGTGTGCCATTGTTCAGAGCATTGTAGTCGCGACGCGGAAGACCACGCGTCTTTCGCACAAATGGGTTAGGTGAGGATGCCATTCTGTATTTGCTCAGTGTTAGTAGTCCAAGTGGTACCTGGGAGCGAGGCGGGGCACACCTTTAGTATCACTCGACAATACTTGATAGCATGGCGGGTCGGAAATGAACGGTGAGAATGAAACAATGATGGGGAAACACTAGCTATGCTTTCGCCTGATGCGAATCCCAGTAAAGTGGAAAGTTGATAGGTCTTTTCTTTACACGCGGCGGTTTCTCACTCGCGACTCTCATGGTAAACAATCTGTAACCTGCATGAGAAGTGAGTTAAGGTGGCATGATAAACGCGTTTTTACGTGCCAATAGTCATGGTTATAATAAATCTAAACTTTGGAGTAGATCGAGTGGGAACAAGAGAAGTTATGGTAGTCGATTTAACTAGAGCAGCAAAGATGTGGAAAGACGACTTGTAGATATATATAATTTCGCTCGACTTTCTGTAGCAACCGTTGGTCACCAAAACTAGACATTTACCTATAAAAAATCACGAAAAATAATGACGCAGAATATATAGAGCTTACCGAGCCCTACAATATAGGGTATATACTTCAGAACATGGATTGCATGGGAAATATTTTCTACTATGCTTGACCGAGGCCGTGATCGCACTTGAAATACAAGTTGGCTAGTGGAAACGTGTTTTTCTGTAATACAAAAACCGGGGAAACGGAAGATCCATTAATGCGCGCAAAATGCATGATATGAATAATATGAATGCGAATATGAATAATGCGCTTATTCGCGCGAATACGATATTCATTTATTCATATTCGCGGGGTGCGAATATGAATATGCCCTATATTCGCATTCATTTATTCCTTTCGGAGCCCTACCGGAGTCACGAGCAGAAGGCAAGCGTGCTGTTGGTGTGAGCTTAACTGGCAATAGGCATGTCATGATGAATTCTAAGAGATGCTAATACTGATTTCACTCACACAGCTCACATTTTAAAGCCGAACCTGGTTCCCATGGGTCAAGGGAACCGATTGAGTTGGTGTGACCTGGTCCGTAGTCTGGGCTCCAAATCAGGTCTGCACGTGACTACTCGAGACGTTCATCTCCAACGTCGGCTCTTGGCGTTTCAATTTGCTGCTCCAGGAATAACTGAAGAGAAAACAAGGTTGCCTAGGCATACCACGTGATATCTTTAAGCGTTTTGTCTTGATTGAGTGACGAATTTCTATAAGAGTCTTGCAGACAAAAACACGAGGTTGTAATGTGAGGACAAGAAACCTTCGCGCAATGCCCATTCGCCGGTCCCACAAGAAGTCAAGACACGGTTGTACGGCTTGCAAACAGAGGAGAGTTAAGGTCTGTTTAATCTCCGGTGGACCTTCAAGCCTGCGATCACTAATGTATGAGCCAGTGCGATGAAGTAAGACCAGTATGCTCCAATTGCAAACAGCGTGAGGAGGACTGCAACTACGTGAGCGCGGCGTCATATCTGTGGGCTAGCGAAAAGAAGCCTCGTACTAGGACTCGGAAACGCAAACAGCCACCTTTAAAAGATGTCGAGCAAACTTCATCCCCGCCTAGCGATGCTCCTTTCTCTTTGCTCGATAGATGCGACCGCACCCGGCCTATTAGCCACCCTGCACCACCACCGCTAGACATAACCCAGCTACGTCTCTTGGTGAATTGGCAGAAGAATACGTGTTACTTTTTTCCCGCGATGCGGACACGCGAATTGTCTGGCAGGTGTTCTTAGTTGATGAGGCTTTGGAATCACCCTCACTAATGCATGGTATTCTGGCTGTTTCTGCGCTGCACCTTGCCCTCTCTGAGCCCGCTTCAGAACAATCATTCTGGTTTGGTCTCGCCACAGCGTATAAAGGCGAGGCTTTGTACGCGCTCCGACATAATTTGACGGAAATGACTCCAGAAAAGGCCAAATTCATGATGGGCCTATCTGCTTTAGCAGTGGTCTATGCTTTCGGCTCTGTTCTGACTGATGTGGATGACGTTCAACCAGGCCTTGACGCTCTCAACAATGTGTTTATTCTATGCCGCGGTGTACAGCAAATAACAGGACAAGCGCACTCCTACCTACAGCAAAGCAACTTCGCGCCACTTTTCAACCCTGGTGAACCAACTGTTGCTGTCCCCGATCATGTTCAGCAGTCTCTTGATCACCTTGACTACTTGAATACAGAGTATAACGAAGACGACAATGGTACTGCAACATACAGTCAAGTGATTACAGCTATGAGGAGCTTATCTGCGCACGCTTTCGCCCAGCCAAACTCCATGACTTTGGCTGCTGGATGGGCTATACGCGTGCCTTCCCAGTATCTTGAGTACCTTCAGTTACAGAGACCTTTTGCTTTGGTCATACACGCGCACTACTGTGCTTTTCTTCATCTAGCCCGCGGAAATTGCTTTTTCAAGAATTGGGGTCACTCGGTCTTAAGAGATATACTCAAACTCTTGGATCACTCTTGGATTCCCCACATTCAATGGCCGATCTGTGAAATATTTGGTGATGGATATCCTGACGAGTTATATAGTGGCCAGGCTCATACTCCTGATTTCAAAATATAAAACCTTTTGTGGAGCTCCATTAGTAGCGAGTCGCTCCGAAATGTTGGCCAAGAGTAAAGACTTACATACATTCTCTTACGGACAGTACAGAAATAAGTCAAGCACTGGATAGTACCGCCTAAGAGAGGCCAAGTTTCGCAGGCGCAGGCGATCTTCGTGGCATTTAAGACAGTATGTATTCTGTATACACTGTTATAATTATTCAGGTACTGAATGTTTAAGCCTGAGGACATTCCACGCACCAAACCTCTACCCCAAAAGCTTTTTGAAGCATTTATTTTCATTAAGTTCATTCTTGCTATGGCCTGTGTGGCCGATGGTGGAGGGCTGGAAAGACACAGCAAATCGCCGAGATAAGCTCTCATCAGCTTATCAAAGGGCTGTCCACACTAGACAATAGAATGTCAAGCCAGCTGACTTAATTGCTTACGGGGTCGTCATCGCCTTAGTTCGCCGAAATAGAGGCGCGACAACCGATTTGTTTCGTCTTGGCTGAGAAGAGCTGTCAGAATGTGTGAGGCCGGACGGCATCGGCAGACCTACCGTCTGAAAGCCAAGGTCCATAAGCATCGTCGCCGCTTGGTTGATCATGGTATTCAAGTCTTGACCGCTATAGTAGTCATAGGACGCGGCATGGCTCGCTGATCGGGGATAGGCAAGAATCGGGTGTTGGACAAGATCGGCCGCTCGCAAACGGATCAGGTCATCCAGAACCTGGAGCTGTCCATATTCCTGAACCAGTTGGTCCGCGGTGTCGAAGAAATCGACCTGAGATGTCTGACCACTGCGTTGGATACCCATGGTGAGGGAGAGTTTGCAAGATTTAGGGGGATGTTAGAGAGCTCGCAGCATCGATCTCTGAGAGAACAAGGGCCCTATATATGAGCAAACCAACAGGTTAACTTGAACATAATGGCATTGATTCTAACAGATAACGTTAGTGCTTAGGATGATAGAGACGGTCGTTGGTGATTTCAGTGTTGTAAGAGCGTTTGAAATCCAATCTGATCATCTTTTCCGCAAAGATGTTTATTTCAACATCCAGTTATGGCGCGATGGTTATTACCTGGCACTCTTCGTTCATCTACCTTGCTTACGGATTACGTGGTCTCTGGTTAATTACTGGCGGTATCGAGTCACCACGTGATGTGGCAATGAACACGCAGCGACAAAGGAGAGCAAACACCGGCAAATGTAAATTTGCGTCCTTGTCAAAAGGCGGAGTGGTGTTTCAGGGATAAGTTGCTAAAATTAAGCAACGGAGAGGTAGCTTGTCTTGCTCATTGATGAGGCTGGTTGAGGTCGTGTTTAGGGTTCTTAATAGCTCATAATTTAACAGTGTGCTCGCTGGTCAGACTATCCCTACTCGAAGTACACTTCCTACACTTCCTACGATCATCAATATCATTGGCTCGACTGGCCATTTAAGTTACAAGCGACTGACAAATTAAACGTTGGCATGTATGATATTGAACATTTTCTTGTATCGCCTTGTCATATAGGACTCTCAAATCCAAGCGGCAAAATGATGGCTCTCTCGATTGACTTAGACACTCCGTGCGCGTGAATTCAGTCTGCTGGCCAAGAACTCCGCATCCTGCAGCCAGCGTGACTTAGTATGCCGCTTGAGGTGCTGAATCCTGATTTCGTCGTGCGTGTGCTGAGCAACGAGCCGTTCGTTGTAATCATTGAGTTGCTGCGCTCGATTCCTCCTTCGACGGCCCCTTTTTTCCTTGCGCTTGTCTCGGTGGCTTCTAATGATTGGTTTCTCTACTGCATCCCCCGAAGAGGGACGCACTCGGTCTGGCTTCGCTGTGAAACCCTCCTTCATAGTTTTTGGTTGCTGTTGATTCTAATGGGAAAAACCAGCTGCACGCCCAGGGCAAGAAATAAAAAGTGGAAGACCTACCGATCTTGCTTTCGGTTCAGGACCAACAATTGTTTGAGTGCTCACCGCATAGGCTGGGTCGATAGAATTTCCAAGAACATCGTTGGAAGCATGCAGCTCAACATTTGGCGTGGAGTCTGCCGTCATTGCTATCATAAGTTGTTTGGAGAACACAGAGGCTGAAAAGGTCCTTGTATTTGCGGGTTTAAAATAGTTGAGGGATAAGACGCAGACGGAAGTAACCACTGGTCAATGGGATAGAGCCCCTTCGCGGCCCTGTGATAGACTTCGCCAGATTGACCAAGCGGTCTGGGCCTGTTTTTGCGTAAACGGGCAATTCTGATGAGTAGGCTGAATAAACGGGGTGGGGATACACCTTTGTGACCCTTGAGCTCGGGAGCTACACCCCCAATAAACAGTATCGGAGGGGTAAATAACCGGATCCCGTTTTGAGAGTCCCAGCTTGACGCTGCTCATGAAAGGATGTGAGGGAAACATCTACTGCCGATTTGGTTTATTTGGTGGAGAAGAACAACGGACTCGGTCTCTGGACCGTTCATCTCCCGTGCTGTTACTTCCTGCCTGAGAGATTTAAACAGCACTTATCTGCTGTGCGGTTGTTTGTTTTGTAGTTATAGAGTCTTTTTCAGATCAACAGACGCATGTAGTGTTCTTGACATGCAGGTGTTTATTTGTTGTGAGGTGACAGGTCAATTGATTAGGTTCTAAACATTTGGATTGCACCGAACCAATCGACTTCCTAATTTTCTCGTTTAAACGCACATGCGGTTGGCTATTTTGAGGCCATCCATTTGTTGTGGCTCCATGGTTGGTGTTTGAGCCTTTGACGAAGTTTTGTTTACCCTAATCCCGGCATTTGTCTCTTAGTTCCGAGTGTCTACTGGACACAATAAAGCAACCATCGCGGCGTTCATCGAGATCGGCGGACTCCAGTGATTAAAACAGAAGGAATGATAATGAACAACCATGGGATATGGATGCTTGACAGAATTGAACATAACGCCCGCTTTTGGGTTTCTCATTTTGTCGTCGTTTACTCCCTGGCCATTCCCTAGGCCCTCAGGTACTGGTCAGCAAGAGTATCGTTCACGTTTATGACCTCGGACCGAGCAATTTCAACGCGCTGTGGTATAGTGTAATTCGCCTAGTCAGGTCCGTAATTAACGATTGAAAGAACGGTCATCATCCGGTCTTCAAGGCCAATATTTGCGCGGGGTTGACGGTGTGTAATATAATGGGTGAAGACGTTCAAGCGATAAACAAGATGACAAGCTGCTATTACACATAATATTCAGTATTTATATTCAGTGTTTATGTTCAGTGTTTATGTTTAAAGGAGAAACTGTACATTTCTAGACAATACAAGAAAATGTGCATCTTCCAGCACGAATACACTGAACAGCTAGATTATGGGCAAGACGAATCTAAGTATAACGCATAGACTTGGACAGATCTTTAGCTTCATCGAACGACTACGCGTTTGATTATTGATCCCCAGCACCACGAAGAGGTGTCTGTCCGTTGCTGGAGGCAACTAGAGCATGAAGTGAGCCCAACGCTGTACAGCTGTGGCCCTCTATGTGCTTCACGGCGAGTTACGGTAAGTCACCGTGAAGCAGAAAACCCAACGCTGTAAAGCTGTGGCCCTCTATGTGCTTCACGGTGAGTCACGGCGAGTCATCGTGAAGCAGAAAACCCAACGCTGGAAAGCTGTGGCCCTCTATGTGCTTCACGGTGAGTCACGGTGTGCGAACCTCTGAGACTCGGGGCAGGTTTGGGCTTTATATTTCCTTGTACGGTATTCAAAGAAAGCCACGTGTGCAATTCCGCTTTTTAGTCATACATCGCTCGACAGAGCTGCCAATGAAACTTTACCTCCCCAGCCTCCCCACCTCCGTTCAGACACGTTGACTCGCCGACATTAGTAAGACTTATGACTCGGAATTAACCACGACACATTCGTCATCACGGATCCCCTTTTTCACCATGGCCGTCGTGGTACTCTCTTAGTGGACTTTTTGTCTGCGGGCAAAATTCACCAAAGGTGAATGACTCTAAGTATGGGAAATTAAGCAATTTACCGCAGTCCTTTTTTGAGGGTGCCGTGTGGGATTAAACAATAGCTTAATGCGTGGCTGGGAGGAGTGTTAGTGATACTCCAAAGGTAATCTGCAATTATCGGTCATGAGTGCGTTTAACTTTCAGTAATTGTGCATCCTAATCTACGCACGCAACTTTGGTGGAGTTTCTTAACCCCCTGCCCGCAGGGAGATTGGTGATCTCAATCTCAAGTTTTGATCGTCTACATTGCTCTGTTTTTCCCCGCGCACCTTCACTGTATTTCAACTGGAAGATCGGTGGGCTCAACCCACCGCAGCGGCCACTCCCTCGTTCGTGCTTCATTTTTAGTAGAGTATTTGCTACACGGGGCGCATGCGCATTTGTTAGTGGCGTGTCGGTCGCTTACTGGTAATTTTTGTGGTTTCTTAGTTTTGGGATGTTGTTGGCTACGCTTACAATACAGCATGGAATACTACGTGTCTCAAATATCTGAAATGAAAAGTATATGTCAGGATGAGGAATTAATGTACTGGCTAGTACTGCACATGTCCAATAGAATCTGATGATTGATTGAAGGTGTGTAGATCGGTTCAGCGATCTCTGGAGTCTACTGTCCGTGCTCTGGCGTGTTATGACACCGTATCCGAATTTAGCCCGAATACCATACAAATACTAGGGGAAATTGGGTGAACGATGAACAAGCCTATCCCAAAAGGCCATAGCGGTATTTGACCGCTCCTTTAGTTTGTCACACCCCCCAGCGTTCGCACAATTCCAACCTCTTCTTGTTAATCTAGCAGATTTCCAATATCCTCAATGCCCATCATTTGAACGAATTCTGCATGCTTCTGACGTGGCAATAGCTTGGTGAGTCCGTCCGCAGCCATACCCTTCGTCTCAGTCCATTTGATGAGAATCCTGCCTGCCTGGACCTCCTGACGAAGCCAGAGGTGGTGTATATCAACATGACGTAGCTTCGTCCGCAGCTGAGGAGCTTCCTTGGTGAGAAGCCGAATTGTCTGTTGATTATCACATCGGATAGCAAGCTCGTGCTTTGGATCAAAGCGAACAGCCTCAAAGAGGCGTTTCCACATGCTCATAGTCCTCGCAGCCTCAGAGATCGCTAGCAGCTCCGCTTCGGTTGTGCTAGTAGTCACCGTGCGCTGTTTGCCAGCTCTCCAGTCAACAGGTCCTCCAAAGATCTTGCAGATATATCCCTCCGAGCTCTTCCGGTCAGGGTTATCGGCGAACGAGGCATCACTAAAGAGAGTAACGGCTTCATCCTCCTCGGATTGGCGTGGGCGATAAGTGAGGGCGTGGAAGCGTGTGTGATAGAGGTATGATATCACGCGGTTGATGGCTTCTAGATGGTCCGGACCCGGATTCGTGAGGAATTGAGCTAATGTGGAGGTTGCTTTGGCTGCATCTGGCCGTGTGATGGTGGTTGCATATTGAGCGGAGCCGACCTTCTCCTGATACTCCTTAATCCGTTCACTTGTGGCTTGCCCAGTATACGGCTTTAATGTAGCTGGCGCAAGGGGTGTATCAAAGCGACGATGGGTGGTAAGGTGATATCTGCTTGCCATAGAGGAGATGTATGAGTCCTGACAGAGCCAGAGGGCCATCTGCTGTCTATCACGGACTATACGAATCCCAAGGAACCATGAAGCTTCACCCATGTGTCTCAATTCCCATGCGGTGTTAAGCTTTTCTCTGATCTCAGCCGCGCGCTGGCGCTGAGATGGGTGATTGACGACAATTATGTCGTCTACATAGAAGAACACAATGATACCGTCTGCTGCGAAGAGACAGAGGTCTTCTTGAACGACTTTGAGACCTAGTTGGGTCAAGATCCTTGAGGCCTCGCGCTGCCAGAGCCTCGGAGATTTCCGTAGGCCATAGAGAGCTCTCAGTAGCTTCCAGCAATAGCCAGACTGCCTAAAACCCTCGGGCATCTCTGTTATCACCGTTTCGTCTAGCAAGCTATTTAGGAAGGCGTTGACAGCATCAAATTGATGTGTATCAAGGTCAAACGCAGGGACCAAGGCGAGGACGGCGCGGGCCGTCCGTGCGGCGAGTGTAGCTGAATACTTCTCTTCTGTAGAGAGTTTCTGGAGGTCTCCTCGCACACAGATTCTCGCCTTTAATTTCACGAGATATCCGTCACTATCGAATTTATAGTTGAAGACCCACTTCAATGGGAGGACCTGCACGCCACGGTCGTTCGGACGCCGTATAACCTCAAAAGTGCCCTTCCGTTCGATGGTTTTGACCTCAAGTCCAGCAGCTGCTAGGAAGCCTTCGTTAAACGGGTGATTCAACATCTCTCTCCAAGATTGAGGCTCTGGGGGTAGATCATCGCGGTGTGTTCTCGTGTGTGAGTAGGATCCGTTGAGGCCAGTTGCGAAGGCAGCGAGTACACCCTCTTCGTCGTCGTCCACTGAGAAGGCTAGATTACTAGTGTCTCTGGAACTTCGCCTGCGTGAGCCAGACACAATGTTGCGAGATGAGATATCTCCCACGATGTCTCTAGGTGCCGTACGAGGCTCTGAGGCTTGCGCTGGCTGAACGGGAGGCGTGGGTGACGGTGACATCATTTGTTGAGTCTCCACTAGTTGCGAAGTAGCTTCTTTCTCCTGGGAAGGCGTATCCAAGCTCTGTGGCTCCGTCACCTGCGAGCCCGCGTTGACTGGTTGAGGAATATCCAGGTTTATTCCGGAGGCAAAGGTGCCGTGGTCGATATCCTCATTTTCTTCAACAACCCATGGCATAGACTCTAGGATGTCACTGATAGACTCCTTCTCTAGCTCTCGAGCGTTGAAGAACACATTTTCATCAAAGACAACATCTCGTACTGATCGTACGGATCCTCTACGTGGAAACCATACCCTCCAGATATTCGATGCTTCATAGCCGACGAGGTAGCCTATCTCGGCACGTGGCTCCATCTTCGCGGCGTTCGGAATACCTTGCTTCCGCACATACGCTCGGCAACCGAAGATCCTTAGATTCGCGAGATTCACACGCTGTTGTGGTTGATTAAGGAAAGCCTCTTGATAAGGGAC